ATTTCTTTGGTCTCTGGGCATACCCAGTGTCCAGGTGGGACAATGTCTGGGGTCCCAGGAGCCTGCTGGCTAAGGCAAGACTTCTTGAACCTTCTATTCAAACCTGCTTCCCCCTAGATACACATTCTGGTGCTGGCCAGTGGGCTTCAGAACAATTTGAGGAGAAAGGGAATCACTACACATGGCCTCACTGTCCTGAGGCCTGACCTTCCATGTCCAAGTTGGCACCACAGGACCCCATAGACCTCAGGCTCAGGTTGGGAGGTCTGTCTGTTGCTAAGCTTCTAGGCTCTGGCAGCCTCTGCCCTTGTTCAGCCCTTCACTAGCACTCAGGCCCACTGGGGCCTGCTGGCTGATGTGTTTGGTCTCTGCTCGGATGCAGGACCCAACATAATTTGAGTGGTTCTCAGGAGCTGCAGAGTGGGCAGTGGGAAGAAAGCTGGCCTGTACTCCTCACTGGGGCTGCCAGGACATGTTGCATGATGATCAGAGGCTAAAGAACCTCTGGAAGGACAGTTCAGTTCAGTCTCAGAGGGCTCAGCTTGAACTTTCTCTGTCACTTAGCTATTATCTCTACCTGGGCATCAGCTTCTTCACTTAGAAACCAAGAAACAGACTTACTCAGAAAGCTTTGCCTCAGGGCCCTGTTGGGTCTGGACTTGAGCTGCCCTAAGAGGCCTATGGGAGAGTCTGGCCAGCTGGTATCCCCTCCTCTTTCCCCCCAGCAACTCAAGGTCTTCACCTGGGTCTTTCTGTCTAGGATCCCAGTTGCTGAGTTCCTGGGCCCAGTCTTTTCTAGCCTCGGCTTTCTAGAGGAAAGTTATATATCTGGTAGCTGGAATTCTGACCACTCTCAAGCCAACATCATATTTAAAACTCCATAGATACTGTATTTATTATTATTATTACTTACTACATTTATTTACTGGGGGAAGGGATGTTGTGCCATGGCACATATGTGGAGGTCAGAGGACAACTTGCAAGAACTGGTTCTCTCCTTCCCTATGTGAGTCCTAGGGATCAAACTCAGGTCATCAGGCTTGGTGGCAAGTACCTTTACCCATTGAGCCATCTTGCTGGCCCACTTCATAGACACTGTAAAGTGAACCAAATAACCACAGATACGGACAGACACTCTAAGGTGTATACAACTGCGCTAGTACCTCAAAGCAACTAGGTTGGTATAGAGAGGGGTTAAGGAGGTCAATTGAGGGGGTGATAGTTTGTCCTGCCTATACCACAGGCCTGTGTAGAGAGAGCCACAGAGATGTGACATTTCCTCAGTCCCTTGTTGAAATAGCCCTGCCTATGCTGGGCATGGTGGCCCACATCTGTGATCCAGCACTTGGGGAGGCAGAGGCAAGCAGATTTCTGTGAGTTCCAGGCCAGCCTGGACTATATAGTGAGTTCAGGCCAGCTGGGGCTGTAGGGAGACCCTGAGAAGGAGCCACAGCCTAAAGCTTCTCTTGTGTGGGGCAAGAAGAACATCTTCAAAGAGATACCATGAAGTATTCAAGAGCTTCATGGACATTCCTGAAACATGGAGAATGGGGGTAGGAGGAATCTATGTGTCACAACTGGATAAGATAGGACCCTGGGATCCAGAAGAAGGAGACAAGACAGAGTTACCAGCCAGCAGGGGTTGGTCTGACCTTTGTGATCCCTCCCCCATGCCACCTAGCATTGCCAGGAGGCTTGAATGATACCTACCATAAAAACATAGGCTAACTAGAACCTTGCTTCTAGGTTACATTGGTACAAACAAGCAGACCTTCCTCTCAGCAGTCAAGCCACCCTTCCTCTTTAAAGTCCAGAAAAGCCAAGACCTTCTTTTAAAGTGTGAAAAAACAGGAACTGCTTTCCATCTCTGCTCTGTTCCGGCTCCCTTCCTCCTGCTCCTGGTTCAGCATCAGTAGGCATTCACTGATCAAGTGCAACCATTTAATTAATTAATTAATAATTAATTAATCACACAATTAATTAAATGTGTATGAGTGTTTTGCGTGAGGGTATGTAAGTGTACACGTCATGCAATGTCCGTGGAAGCCAGAAGACGGCGTTGGATCCCCTGGAACTGGAGTCACGGACAGTTGTAAGTTGTCATGTGGGTGCTGGGAACTGAACTGGGTCCTCTGTAAGAACGACCAGTGCTCTTAACCACTGAGTCATCTCTCCATCCCCTTTTTATTTATTTTTGTATTTTACTTATTTCTGGTCTTACTATGGAATCTAGGCTGGCCTCAAAATTGAGATCTTTTTACCTCAGTCTTCTGGAATTACAGGTGTATTTCAGCATATCTGGCCTACCAAATTCAGTGTTATTCAAAACTTTGATTTCTCATCCTGTTTGCAGTATCTTCCCTCCCCTCCCTAAAAAGCTTGACCCCAAGATTCCCAATGATTGGCCTCTCATAAGAAGTGTGTATGGGGGGGTGCCCTTCCTTCTATGGGGAGATCTGATACTGAAACGGGGAAGGAGATTTTGGTGCCCCTTGCCATGCATGGTGGTATGTGGCACCAAAGGGCATCGATCCTCTTGGCCTTAGACCCAACCATCACTGCTCTCTCCTGGGATCTTTCTCCTGGGCCTTCTCTCTGGCAGGTAGCCCTCCTGGCAGAGTTTTTTTGTTTTTGTTTGTTTGTTTGTTTGTTCGTTGTTGTTCCAAGGCCTTCAGAGGTACAGACTTCACAGGATCCACTGAAGGACCACACTCCTTTCCTCCCTGTTCTTCCCAGGGGCTCAGGCCTCCATCCTCAGACAGCTTCTGTTCTCCTAAGAACTCTCCTCCCAGTTCTGCAGCATGGAGGACAGGGTCACCATCCTTCTCTCGGGTCAGCCCAGTTCTGTTCTGTTGTGGGGTCCCTTGGGAAGACCCTGTCACATTCACGTGGAAGGCTGGAGTAGGGAGGGAAGAAGAATCACCAAGCAAAACCCTCACCCCCAGGAGAACATCTGGACATGGCCACAGGACCCTGAAACCTCTGAGTGCTCTTGGCCATGGAAGCCACCAGCCACCCACTTCCTTGCCTGGTCTTGGCTGTGCCCTCAGAAGCTTGGCTTAGATGCTGCACTCTTCAGGCAGAGAAGAAGACTCCCCTCACAGGCTTTGGTTTCTGAGCGTCCCTCTATCCCGGAGTCCTGGGGTCAGGTTGAAAGGACTTCCTAGGAGTGGCCTCCCTAGGGGAGGAACACCACCCTGATGTGAAGTTCCCTGTCTACCTGCCTAGACGGCAGCAGGGAGGTCTCAACCCCTTGGACCTCATGGGCCCAGCTCCCCACAGTACATTCCTGTTGGTGACTCACTGAGGCTGAGGAAAAGTCTCTTTTTCTAAATGGCTTCTATTTTCCCTGGCAGAGAATGTTGTATCCAAACATGGTCCAAGTATTAGCCACCCCTAGGGAAATGACATCCATGGCCCCTCACTCAGTCTAGGGCCTTCAGCATGACACATTGGACCTGGCAGCAGAACACATTCCCAGAACCAGTCTTGATCGTGATGATTCAGAGAAGGGGATGGCAGTGGGAGACACTTGCTTTGATCCTGTTGCTGCCACCACTGGGCTAGCTGTGGGTAGGTTGCTCTGGGATCCCTGGTTGGGGGTGGGTAGGAAACTAATCTCCAGGGGAAATGATGAGAGCCAAGAGAAGGAGATGCAGATGTTGAACATGCATGCTAGGCACAGTACAACATGATCTTGTTTAATCCTCATGTAGTAAGTTGTGGGCATTGAGGTCATTGGCCAAAATCAGATGGCTAGCAGGGACAGAGATGGCATAGGCCCCAGGGACCAGTTCTTTATATACTGCCCCTGTTTTCTTAAGGAGAGCCAGTGAAAGAACAAAGGGATGGCCTTGGAGGGCCCTCTCTCTCCTGGGGAGCAGTGGGGTACAGGGCCCAGCAGTCCTACAGGATTTCCCTGGCTCTAGCTGCTCAGGCTGGGCCAAGGTAGGTTGTGATTGTGATAGTACTTTCTAACTGCTTTACCTTTCTCTTCCAGCTGAGATACAAACTCTACCTATGAGTCATCCCAGGGCTCCTATTCTGCTCTGTTAGTCTGTCACTGACCTGACAGGGGCAAAACAAGCCCACTTTCTCTCTGGCTCTGGCAGTAATGGGCTTAAGCTGTGATGGCCACTGGGGTCAGGCAACATGTGTCCTTCTAGAAGCCAATGGCAAACATCAGACAGGTGTGAATTTCTTTCCTCTGGGAGTTTGACTGATGGATTCTGGGATGCTCTGACACTCAGTCTATGTGCCATCTGGGTCTGTGTAGTACCTGCAGCTATTATAAATACATAAAAAGGAGGGGGGGTTCTATTTTTTTGTTTAGAAGAAGGAAAGAAATGAGTATTTGTCCAGGTTGGGACCCGAGGGTGAGGGCATGCCCTAAAGTGGGGCTCCTATCCCCAATAGAACAGCCCAGCTGTTCTGAGGGCAGTTTTGGACCACCTCTCACTAGAAAGTGAATTCCCACAATGCTGTCTTTTCTGCTGTGGGCAGGAGTTGGTTCCAAAAAGACCTGGGGAGGTTGGTGATGCAACAGGTGACACTTTGAAGTACCACCTGGCCCAGGCTCCAGAGCGTGGGAAGGAGCGAGTGGTCGATACCAGTGCTTCTTTTACTATCTCCAACCCACCCCCTCACCCTCCGCAGTAAGCTCAGAGGCTCAGAGCGAACAGAAGGCACAACGGATAGGGTACAAACCTCCTCAGACTCGCACTCCGATGCTTTCACTCTACTTTCCCTCCTTCCACAGGCGCCCTTGCTCTCCTAGACCCTCCATCCTGGGCGCAGACGCCCCTAGCAGCAGGGGCAGCGGTGCTGGACTCTGGGCAGCGGCAGCGCCTGGCCTCGGTGCTGCTCCACCCCCCTCCCCGGCTGCCCCTGGTCCAGGCCGACTCCTCCTCCTCCTCCTCCTCCTCCTCCTCCCCAACGGCGGGTGGGGAGCAGGTTCCGGAACCCGGAGCCCCCACCCCGGCAGCGCCGTCGCTAGCACTTTGGAGGGCGGTCTGCGGACGAGCTCGACACGCGGGGCAGGAGCATCCAGTCACCGCCAGCGCCTTGGAGAACCGCCCGCCCGCCCGCCTGCCCGCCAGAACCTCTCCCAGATCCTCTTGTCTTCCCTGAATCTCAGTCTCCCACCCTTTCCGCATACCCCCGACGTCCCCGCTGCTCCCCGGGTCCCTCAGGCTCTTTCCTGGAGCCACCTTTCGTGCCCTTTCCTGGAACCCTTTTCCTGCCCCCACGCGGAGTGCTGCCCCTGCCACCCACACCCCTGCTCGAGCCCCCCTCCCCGCGCGTGCCAGGACCATGGCGGCGGTGTGCACCGCACCCCTCCTCTGCAGCCTCTTGGCGCTGCTAGCGCTGTGCCCAGGGGGGCACACACAGACGGTGCTGACTGACGACGAGATCGAGGAGTTCCTCGAAGGCTTTCTATCCCAGCCGGAGACCCGGCCCCGGGAGGACTACGGGGAGGTCGAGGCCGCGCCACTTCCCGAGCCCACCCAGCGCGCCCGCAAATCCCAGGCCGGCGGCAAGCCGGGGGCAGCCGCAGAAGGTGAGAACCAGCGGGCAGGGGCATCGCGTGGTGGGATTGACGCCTCAGGCGAGCTTGAAGGGGCTCTGGAGGGTCTGGCCACTCCCCCATGCTACCCAGGATGAAGAATTGCTCTTCAAGACAACCTCCCTGATGGTACACAATGCTGGTACAGGATGCCAGGCGAGGGCAGTGCTGGCCAGGAGTCTGGAAACCTGGAGTATGTCCAGCACAGGGTATCATGTGACTTATGGGGTTCCGAGGATCCGTTGGTCTGGTTTCTCATCCCCAGATACCGAGAGTGTGTAGGTTTGGGTCTCGGAATTGTGCTGTCACCTCACTGACTTTCAAACTAGCCTTCAACCTGTTTGTGGCAAGCTTCAAGCCTAGGCCTCCTGCCCACTCTTCTCCCACAGGACAGCACAGGCAGGGGAGCAGGCTACAGAAATCCTTTGTCCTCCAAACTTCCAGGTAGAAGTGATTAATCTGAGATTATTAGAATTAGATGAGGTGATGCATCACCAAAGCATGTAACCCAGAGCCTATTATGTAATCAATTGTCAGTAAATCTTAGCTGTTTTTTTTGTGGCCCTTTGGATGGTGGTGAAGGATCTTGTGATCTCTCTCCCAGGAGACTGTGAGGCACCATTCATCATTCCTGAGGTCAGCAGCTCCTCCTCCAGCCCCACTGCTGTAGATTTGCTCTCCTCACCCCTCACCTCCCTGCACACTTTGCCTCCAGCAATCTAGTTATGCTGGATGTCTTGAAGCAGCCCTGCTTTTCCTTGTTTTGTAACTTTTCCTGTGTTTCAGCCAACTGCCCCATGTCTCCGATCCACCATTAAGTTCATAAAGTTCTCATTGGCATTTGCAGCTCCTAGGGTGCTGGGAGGGTGGCCCCTGCTGTTAGACTCACTGAGATGAACCAGCAGCCATGAGATCTTGCCTGTCCCTCTCTCTGTCCTTGGTACAGACCCCACAGCCTCCAACTGGTTCTAGCTTTACCCAAACCCTTTACATCTTCCTCCTCTTGGAGCATCAAGACTTAGAGTGCCTTCCTTCCCTCCCTCCCTCCCTTCCTTCCTTCCTTCCTTCCTTCCTTCCTTCCTTCCTTCCTTC